CAAAAACACCATAAAGAGTATTAAAAAGCGAGCCACAGAATGAGAGAAGATGTTTGAAATAGATATTAAGACCTTCCTCCAATGACTAAGAAATGAAAACAGCCCAGTAGAAAAATGGTCACATGATAGGAGGAGGCAGTTCGCAGAAACCAGACAGCCCATAAACTTGGAAAAGGTGCTCATCTTCATTGCGAATCGCAAACGTGAGTCCAACAGGAGGGTCGTACATTTCAGCCGCATCGACACGGCAGCACCGGGCGTCCGCCAGGGTGCAGGAGGCGGCCTGTGTCCTTGCGGGCGCGAGCTGGAAGGCCCGCTTTGCAGAGCAACGTAACGGGAGCTGATCAGATCAACGCTGTGCAGCACCTCGGACCCAACATTCCCCCCTCTGATTCTGTACTTCAGAGAAACTCGTGCACCTGTGCTTAACAGGACATATTCGAGAATGTTTGTTGCTGCACTGTTTGAATTAGCCAAAACTGCTGTCGAAAACCTTACTATCGAATAAGACAAAGAAAGTTATGTTACGTAGTTAAGTCCCTTGGAACAGCTGAAGTACACGCAGGAGAGCCACGTTCATCAGCGTGAGGAAACCCCCAGAACGGTGTGGAGCCCTGAACACAAAGTGTGAAGGCTGCCGTAACGTGCCAGCTTGGAAGACCAGCCGGCAGTCCCCGAGCCACAACGTCCCTGATCCCACAGTCTGGGAGAGCCCTCCCTGAAAACCTCGTTATGTTTGGTGGCAGAATCCGAGCCGACCAGGCTCGTTTGGTGCCATCCCCGGGACACTGCTCCTCGCCTGCCGCCTCCCGGCCCTGCTCCCCTGTTCTCCCGCTTGCCCTTTGCGGGGGAGGCAGCGGGAGCCGGCCAGGCGGAGGGACGGAAGGGGTCCAGGCTGGGCGGCCTCCTGTGGGCTCAGCGGTCCTGGCCCCTCCCACCCGGGCGTCCCTCTGTTGCCTGGCCCTGGGTGCGTCTCTGCCCCTTCGTGGCTGTCCTGGCCTCGCCCGCACCTGTGCAGATGGCCCCTTGTCCAGCTCTGCGGGAGCCCCTGGGGACCGTCAGCAGCCTCCCGTTGCCACCAGGCTCCCAGTGGATGGGATAGTTATGGTCTTTGTTGATCCCACTTGCTGTGAACAAAAGTATTCCTGTCTGGAAATCTTCTTGAAATATCAAATTAAATTGAAGTGTAGACAAAGAAATACTTTATATTCTCTTATCATGAAAAAGAAGTATTTGGGGAAATACAGATTGTGAACGGTAAACTTGTCTCACCACTTCTCTGTGTTCTCTCCTCGTTTGT